TATGTAATATATACCTTGCTATGTGTACTGCGTTAGGCTAACCAAGACTTGTCATTTGCACTTTGTTAGTTTTGACTGCTTTTATTGTCCTCATTTGTAAGTCGCTTTGGATAAAAGTGTCTGCTAAATGACTAAAAGTAAAATAAAAGTAAAAGTAATGCACGTTGGCATTGCCATGTGACTTACATCATCAACATCACTCCTCTCTCGTGGCTTCATAAAGTGTTCATTGGATGTGCTGGAAGTAGATCACCTGGGTACTTTTCGCCTACTGTTTTATAAGTACTATGTATTTCGGACATACTGCTCCTTCAGTCTACTATATAGTAAAGAAGCAGGCATATTAAAACGCAGTTAGTGATGTTACACTCAACAAGGAAGCTCCGAAGCTTGTATAAAAAAAAAACACATTTCACATCAAAGCAAAGTTTTGCCAAAAAGCACATGATCTATGACGTTTGAAGCTTCATTCGTATGAAAACCATGTGACTGTTTCAGTATCTTTTTCAAACGATGCAAACCTCAGCCCCGTTTCCTTTACATTATATTACTTTATAATGCTTTAGCATTGCTTTTTGTTTTGTTTTTTTAATATCGTAATTAAATAGTAAGATCAAATGAACTTTGCCTATGAAATAACAGGACTGAGGCAAAGTTAAAATAGACAGATCGCGGATTTAAATTATGATTTTATGTTTCATAAAGTTGACAGTACACCGACACAAATGAATGACTTTGACAATGACGATTATTTATATGCAATAAAATAAAACAAAGAATCAGTTGTGAAACCAGCGGCTGTAATGGAACACAGCAGTTTGGAAAGTGTTATTAATTTTATGACCACTAGATGGCCACAACATAAACCGTGATGAAAAGCTTCGAGTAATGAACCTTTTTCCGATACAATTGTGTTGAAAGCTTCACTGGTTTAAAACGCTTCACTTCACCATCACTAAACGCAGTGCTGAATTCAACTAATACAGGAAACAGAAACATGAGGAACATGAAACCACGAACAAGACAACAAGAACTAGGAACGAGAATGTCAAAATGAAAGCACATAACAGAATAAAAGACCTGATTCAAAGGGGGAAAAAAAACGAACAAAACTAAAGCACAAGATACTGTAAACTAGTCTGTTCTTTGAGTAGTTGTGTTACGCAATATGCATTTTTTATTTTATTTATTTATTTATTTTTGCAATTTCAGGTAAAAACTGGGTGAGGATAGATCCGCCTCTTCCTGCACCCACACTTGTTTCAGAGGTCAAAGAGTTGACAGGTATGAAAACCTATACACACACAAGATTCTGCCAACTTTGCACCCTGTGATTGCTTCCCAATTAGCATATTTCTGTACTGTGCCCTCAAAGTACTGATGATGTTAAATTACTTAGGAGCGGTGTTGGGGAAAGTTGCGTTACTTCATAAAAAGTAACTAATTACGTTACTTAGTTACTTTTTATGGAAAGTAATGTGTTACGTTACTTTTGCGTTACTTTTTCTCATCTGGCCTGGGCTTGCTTGTTTGTTTTTTATTTAAAAAGTTATATTTTTGTCAAATGTAAAAGCCCTTTCTCAACAGAAGTGAAATGAATAATGAAAGAAATGTAAATTCAACACTTTCTCTTTAACATTTTCTTCACAATCACAAAAAAAAAAAAAAAGAAACACAAATGTTGCTTATCTGTTGTGGTTATGAGTCATTTGTGTTTATGGTTGAATTGGATAATTGAAGGACACTGGTAAAATGGGATTAAATACATAAATAACGTTGTTTTAAAGGGGTCATATGATGCGATTTACATTTTTCCTTTCTCTTTGGAGTGTTACAAGCTCTTGGTGTATAAAGAAGATCTGTAAAGTTGCACAGACTAAAGTCTCAAATCCAAAGAGATATTCTTTATAAAAGTTAAGTCAACCACACCTACCTAAAACGGCTCGTTCTAACATGCCCCCACATGTCTACGTCACGATGTGGGAAGATTTGCATAACGCCACCCAAGACGCGTTTCAGAAAGGCGGGGCATAGAGGAGAAACAATAATGTACAGTATGTGGAAAATAATGTGTTTTTTGAACCTTAAATTGCATAAACCCATTTCATTACACCAAATACACAAAATAATGTTCTTTTTAGCAACATCATATGACCCCTTTAACATTTAATTATTGCAGGTTTGTGTCGTATTCTGAGTTTGCATTGCACTGTTTTTATTCATTTTGAGGAATTCTGAATCTGTTTTTGTGCAAGTGAGATGAGTAAATGCATGTTCACATTTAGTCTAGAACTACAGTAACCATCATGTTTACACAGCACACACGACATCTCTGCCCTTACTCCTGATTTCTCTGAACATGGGGACAGGAGAGCTGTCAGTCAATGGGAAAAAGTTTACTTATTTGAAAAAGTGACTTAGATATTGTCTATTATATAAAAAAGTAATGTGTTACTTTACTAGTTACATGAAAAGAGTAATCTGATTACGTAACTCGTATTGCTTGTAATGCGTTACCCCCAACACTGCTCAGGAGATGGTAAGAAAGTATGATTCAAGACTGTATGACAGCATCATGCTAAAGCTAAAGTTTCACAAATGCCATTGCAAAATGCTACATAATGCCAATTATGTAAATAATTTGCATGCATTCAACTGTGATTAATTCAACCCATTTGCAATATTTAAATAGTTTAAGGGGTTAACAAAGATAAAGTGGTTAGTATTCATCAAGTCAGCTTTTTATTTTACATGGAGCTGATTCTGACATGACTGGATTCTTCATCTTGTGTGAGTGTACTGTATATGATGTTAAACATTTTTTAAGTATTATTAATATCTATGAATAAAAAATTTTTTATTTATACTTTTAACTTTTAGCTTCATATGTTTAAAACTGCACTGGCACTTTCGGCCTCACATTCCTCACCGGTTTTTCTTTTCAAATTGTGATGAAGTTTTGTTATTCATGTGTTGGCTTGAAGGTGGCTGATCTCAAATCAAGGCAGCAGAACACATCTGTGTGCGTGTCAGTCTAGAGAGAATATACAGTCCCTGGAGCATTAGAGCAAACTGCCGAGGAAGCGCGTATGCCCACTGGTATGCATGTAAGTTTTTGCAGGCCATGTTGACATGCTCAAAGACAGATTGACTGGCTTTAAGTCAAGGTCAGCCTGCATCATCAATTTCTTAGACTGGGTTGTGTTAAACTGTCAGTTAAAAGTGCCAGGAATGGTCATTGTTGTCACTGTTTTTAG